CCCCCCGCCAGCTGGCGCGGCGCTACCACCCCGATCGCTACCGGCCCGAGCCCGGCGACCAGGGCCCCGGGCGCACGCCGCAGAGCGCGGAGGAGGCCTTCCTGCTGGTGGCGACCGCCTACGAAACGCTCAAGGTGAGGCCTTGGGTCACGGGCGGGCTGCGGGGACCCTCGGGGGGAGGCGCGCGGCGCCCGGGGCCCTGGCCGGACACCTCTAAGACCGGTCGGATGCTCGCGCCTTCCCACGTGGCCCTGGGGGAGAAGAGCCCCACGGCCCGTGGACAAAGCCAGGAAACGCCGCTGGCCTCAGGGGCCCAGCCAGCCCGCTCCTTTCTGTGACAGCCCCCGTCATGCCAGGCGTAACATATGTTGGGCATCTAACGACTTGGTGAAAGCGATTTACTAACGTGCGGCTCACACTCGGGAGGCAGAGTGACGGAAACGCAGGAGAGGCCGTCCACCTGGGGTGATGGTGTGATAGCGCCCGTGTGGGGATGGCCCTCGTTGTGACACGTAGTTTGGGTTTAAGGGTGGAGAGGACACCTGCAAAGAGCCATGAACAGCCAGCAGCCCGAAGACCAGATGTTTTCCTCTGGTCTCTGAAGCCCAGTGTGACCTTGGGTAGTGACTTAATATGCTGAGTAGCTGCTGCTTCATATTAAAATTAAGGCCAGGATACCTCCCCGCAGGGCTTTTATGAGGCTAAATAAGTGTGAGAAACCCCTACATGGGGCCTGGAAATAGGTACTTAATGACTTGGGATTCAAGACTCTGAGAGTGTCCGGTAGGAAGTATTCCGTATGTGTGCATTGGACAAGGTTTCACGGAGTCCCCTGGGGAGCGGGAGAACGAGCCGGAGCCTGTTTTCTTCTGCAAAAATCAAACCATATAAGAAATCACAGAGTATAAATCCTATTTGATGGAAGTGTTTCTGTCTCAGAGGCCCTAACGTGCTAATGTAACTGCAGTTGCCGTTGTATGGTGTTTTTTTCTTATTTTTGAGGCCAGTTTTTCATGCTGCTATGTAGTCTGCTCTTACTGACTACTTTGAGTGGGTATACAATAATTTAACCATGGACTACTTTTCCAGATTAGCTTTCCAGAGCTGAAAATACTGAGTCAAGGAGTTAAAGGCTCTGCAGTCATGCGTCCCAGAGCAGTTTGGATAGTATGGAGTCATAAAATGAGCATGCCTAGCCCCCTGCCGGTTTAGCTCAGTGGTTGTGCATAATGTGTCTCGTAACAGCCCCCCCCCCCCATGAACCAGGAGGTCACAGTTTAATTCCTGGTCAGGGCACATGCCAGGGTTTTAGGCTTAATCCCCAGTAGGGGGCTTGCAGGAGGCAGCCAATCAATGATTCTCTCTTATCATTGGTGTTTCTGTCCGTCCCTCCCTCTGAAATCAATAAAAATGTGTTTAAAATAAATAAAATAAAATAAAATGAGCATGCCTAGTTCACCTCATATTCGCTGCGTTGTTGGGATTATAATTTTTATTGGCAGTTAACTGAGGAATTGGGGGGAGTGTGCTGGGAGAGTACTGAGGCCAGAGGGTTTAACTGCCTATCATTTAGGATAAAGAGTAATTGAGGGAAGACTTCAGAAGATGGGAAAGCACTTCTCCATCCGGGGCAGCCAGCCTCTGAAGCCCCAGTCTGAGTTTTTCTTCCGTGAGGAAAGTGAGTGGTCCAAACCAGCCATCAGAAAGCCTGCTGCTGGCCCTCCCAGGCCCTGGGGGCGTATCAGGAGGCCCTGGCAGATGGAGAACTTCCAGAAGAGAGGGCAGCAGAAACACTAGCAACTGCTCCTGCTGCTGTGGTTGGAGATGGGTATGTTTGGCCTGAGAATGGTAAACATGTTAGTGAAACACGTGCCAAGGAAGAGAGACAGTAGAGACGTTCTTGCCGGGAGGAACCTCAAGATCTAAATACTCCCGACATTTTTCTCGAAGAGACCGATTTAGAGGCTGATCTGGCGGATCTGTAATAGTTGCCGCTAAAGGTTTCTACCCCTAAAGTTTAGCATTGGTTTGTCAGCTTATAAAAAGTGCGTTAAAATGGCTTGTCCGCTCGTGAACAAGGAACTTTTGGGCAGTTCAAAACGAGTATGTCTGGAGAAAGTAACACTCTTATTCTTGATTCCCACCAGTGGTTTGTGGTAGCTACTAAGCCTCCAAACAGGAGAACGAAATTGCAGTTGCACCGATGGAGGAGGGAGTGTGGGAGCGTCCTATGGTATGACTGTGAGAGAATAGGAATTATCTGGAGCGTAAAGGGATGTCTAAGGATAGTTGGATCCTTGAAAATCAGACTTAGCCAAGCTCTGTGAAGAGTCCCTTTTAAATTTATAGAAATAGACATGGATTCCATTTTCATTGGGACGGCTCAGGAAACGTACAAAAACTTGTTGCAGACGCCTTCTCCTGGAATAAGGAAAAGGACTTTGACTTGCTTTGTGCTGAAGAAGTTATTAAAAACACACAGGGTGGTCTGATTTTATTCCTGTCATCCTGGAAAGCTGTGAGAATGTTGCCAGGGAGTAACATTTCTGGGTAATGCAGAGATCCGATGAACCGGGGCCATTCAGTTTAGAAGTTAGCTCTTGAGGCAAAGGGGATGTAACTGTTTTTGCATGGATTATGTCTGCCGGCTGGAAGGCTTGTGAAGGATAAGGGGTCCACATGGCCTCTGTTACTAAGAGGGGTCAGATGGACAGAAGAGTGGGAGAAGTGTGTGAGTTCCAGTGGCTCTGGAATGAAGACGAAATGCAGACGCCCATCTAGAATTCCACATCTCATCTGGAGCAGCCACTGCAGACTTGGGCCACACTTCATTTGTTTGCTATTTTTGTTATACTCTCTTTCTCCGAGAACAACAACAGTACAACCCTGTGAGAGGTGTACTTATCTACGGAGCTAGCCAAAAAGGAGGGAGGGGGTTGGGAAGACTGTGCCCTTCACCACCGTGTTCAGTAGTTGCTCGCATATGTTTGGAGGAAAAGATTGATTTTATATTTGCTTTGTAGAATGCACAGGTAAATTTCATCTCAAACAGTGTAGCTAACAGAAGTTGTTTCTCTCTGAAATCTGAAACAATTTAGTAGTAAATTTCTTGGAGCTATGAGCTTTTTTCTCCCCCTAAATTTTTTTCATAGCCGTAATTTCTCTTATTATTGGTGTGTTTGAGTTTCTTTTATTATTATTATTTTTTATTTTTCAATTACAGTTTATATTCAATACTAGAGGCCCGGTGCACAAAAATTTGTGCACTTGGGGGGGATGAGGGGGTCCCTCAGCCTGGCCTGTGCCCTCTCGCAGTCTGGGACCCCTCAGGGGATGACCACCTGCTGGCTTAGGCCTGCTCACGGGGTATTGGGCCTAAGATGGCAATCAGACATCCCTCTGGCAGCCCAGCAGCCCTCGGGGGATGTCCACTTGCCAGCAGGGAGCAGG